AAAAAAAAAAAAAAAAGGAAAAATAAAGACCAGCCTGGGCAATATAGTGAGACCCTGTCTCTACTAGAAAATTAAAAATTAGCAGGCCAGGTGGTGTGTGCCTATAGGTTCAGCTACTTGGGAGGCTGAGGTGGGGGGACAGCTTAAGCCCAGGAGTTCAAGGTTGCAGTGAACTATGATCATGCCACTGCACTCCAGCTAGGTGACAGAGACAGATCCTGTCTTTAAAAAAAAATACAAAAAAATGGGTAGTAAAGAAGACAACAGGCCAGGTGTGGTGGCTCACTCCTGTAATCCCAGCACTTTCGGAGGTCAGGAATTCTTTCCTTTTTTGACACAAAGTCTCACTCTGTTGCCCAGGCTGGAGTACAATGGCACAAACTGGCTCACTGCAACCTCTGCCTCCCTGATTCAAGCCATTCTCCTGCCTGAGCCTCCCGAGTAGCTGGGATTACAGGTGCACACCACAGCGCCCGGTGAATTTTGTAGGGGCAGGGTTTCACCATGCTGGCCAGCCTGGTCTCCAACCCCTGACAATATGAAAAGGTCTAATATCTGTGTGATCAAAGTCATAGAAGAAGAGAAGGCTGTGGTTAAGAAAAAAATATTTGAAAAAATAATGGCTTAAAATCGGCCAAATATGGAAACTAAGGCAAAGAAAAAATCTTGAATGGAGCCAGAGAGAAATGATGCGTCACGTACGGGGACAGACAGCTGTGCTGCAGGAAGCAGGAAGGTGGAAGGGAGGGAAGAGCACTGCTGGAGGGCCGGCGGAAAACAGCCGTCAGAACGCTACGTGCAGAGAAAACACCCTTCAAGAATAAAAGTGAAATTAAACATTTTCAGAAGAAGAAAAACGAACAGAATTTGTTGACAGCTGACTTGCTGTAGATGATAAACACCAAAAGGAACCCTGAATGTCGAAAATTTATTTAGGAAAAAAGACACATCATAAAACTTAAGAATAGAGGTCATATGAAAGTAAATGGGTGGGAAAAAGCATCTCATGTCTATACCAACGCCCCCATCCCCAAAGCTGGTGAGCTATATTAATATCTGAGAAAATAGGCTTGATGGCAAATGTGTTCGTATAAAGAT